CATCATCCATCATCATCCATCATCATCCATCATCATCCATCATCATCCATCATCGCCATCATCATCATCATCATCATCCTCCATCATCATCATCATCCATCATCATCATCATCATCACCATCATCATCATCCTCCTCCTCCATCACTGGATGTTGGACTCAGTTTTCTAGTTGTACAAAGTCTTTGAGCTAGTTAAACCATCCAATCCTAGGGTAAAAAATCGACTTCATAATCGAGGTCAGTAATTGGATGTACTCCATAATATGCACCGCTATATACACGTAGTATATGGTACAATTCAAGGTGTTTCATAATGTGACCCATGCCCGTTGATCCTCCATTGATATTCCACTAATATTCTATTGGCCACATTCGACCACCATTTTCCTTGGTTAATTCCCCATTAAAACCAACTAAAACCCCATGGTTTTGCTATTTATTTCCCAAGATTGTCCCTATATTTTTCTTGGTGAACTCCCCATAAAAACCATCCAAAACTCCATGGTTTTAATTGCCGTGATGTTCCATTCAGATTCCATGAAAGTGAACTCCTCCGGGGGACGGGGAAGCGCCTTGGACCTCGGCCAGGCTCGTCTGCGCGTGGAGGGCGAGGAACGCCAAGCGCAGCAGGAGCGAATGGGGGTTTCCATTATGGGTACGTCAAAATGGATCGCGTACAATGACAAATCATGACAAATCCCATGAAAATGTATGATAAAATGGGGTACCCCCATTTTAGGAAACCTCCATATCATCACTTTTGATTCTCACTATTGAAGGTCTCTCTGTTTGGCTAGTCAAGTAAGTGTTTTCATTGCATCCTCCTCTGTGCATCTCAATTAAGTAGATTAATCCCAATCTGTCTTCGCAAAGTTCCCACCTACAGGCTGCAAAGGATGTCCGACGCTGACACACACAACAAACATGTAGCACACGAACAAACATGGCTACCTCGTGATTTGGAATGGACGTCATGACCGTATGGAAACATCTCATTTTCAACGCAGTCATAGACACAGTCATGTGACTCATAGAGTCATTTCTGCGAATCACTCTCATCTACCCTCTGGCAATCAAACATTACATGGCTGGGAAATCCACGAGGTATAAATGGAGTTTTTGTTGGAAAAAAGTCATCGAAATGGTGGATTTTCCAGGAAGCCATGGAGCTGATGACAGAGGGTAACTCTCAATGGCCCATTAATACAATCCCATGAATCATCCATGAATGATATCATACTCCATTTACATTCCATTATATATATATATTCCATGATATTCCATTCAAATCTCCATTCATATCCCCATTGTACATCATTATAGCATCATTTTATATCATTTTAAAACTACCAATGTTATCCCATTAATACCCCCCATTATGACATCACTGACGCAACGTGATTTTCCCGCAGCGTTTTTCAGGCGGCCGTACGTGAGGAGCGGCGGCAACGTGTGCAGTCCGGTCCCAGGAGTCCCAGGCGTCCCAGGAGTCCCAGTGGCAATGGTAGCGGTAGTACCGGCATGGTGAAAAAGGGTGAAGCATGATGACATATGACATATGACATATGATTCATATGATATGATATATGGATGACATATGAATGATATATGAATGACATATGGAATGGAGTACAGTACATCTATTCGAATCTAGCACTCTCTTGGTACACCTTGATGATTTAAGAATAGATGTACTGTTTTGTTTTTGCATTTTGTTTTTCCATGAAGCATGAGCGAAGGATGATGGAGGAAGAGAACGTTCTGCTCAAGTGTTAAATGGTGACTTCTGTGCAGGGTATCCGGGCCATGCAATGTGACGATTGGAAATGAACGCATATACGCAGAGCACAGACATGCACAGACACCGATACTCGTAGAATGTAAGTCATTGTAAAGTAAATATATATAGACGATTTCGATGCATGTATACATACAGCTGCGTGTACATATATATATATACACATACATATGCAATCATATGCATCAGGCTGAACATTTAAGTATATACATGGCTCTCTCTATATGCATATGATCTATACACCATACACATCATGGATGTATATCAGATATACAGATATACATATCATATATATATATATAATATAATATAATATAATATAATATGGTCCAGCGTTCCAACCCCCCTCCCCCCCGGCCATGGTCATGGGTTAGCCATAGTACTGTCCCCCTCCCCCCTGTGGTGTGGTGGTGTGTGTGTGTGTGTGGTCGGTCTGGTATGGCATGTTTGGAATGTATAGTATGTTTGGTATGTATGGTAGGTATGGTATGTATGGCATGAATGGTTGGTATTGTATGGATGGTAGGTATGGTATGTAAGTCTGTTGGGTATGGTATGTTTGATATGACAGTATGTATGGTCTGTACGGTATGTATGGTTACCATGATGGGTATGGTATGTTTGCTATGTAAGGTAGGTATGGTATGCATGGCATGTATGTTTGATATTGTATGTATGGGGTTTCATATGTATGGTATGTGTGGTATGCATGATAGGTAGTAAATGCGAGGCTGGTAGTCAGAAATGCTGCAAAGACCTAGCAAATACGAGGCTGGACCTCAGAAATGCTGCCAATAGCTTGCAAATAGAAGGGAAGGGGGTGCTACCTCCGGACCCATACCATTGGGGGCGGGTAGGAACATGGAACACGAGACCATATATATATATATCATATGCCTATGCCTATGCACATATACAGATATACATATCATCCTATCCACCTTGCAATCCGTTGAGGTCGCTGCGACTGGGAGGTGCCACCGGAGAGGAGTTCCCCGGAAAATCGTCATCCACTGGGTACTAAAATAACATAATAGTGATTTGAAGGGAATTACTAGGTGATTTATGGTATTGTATCACTAGTGATTTATGGTATTTATGATTTCGGGGAATTAACTAGTGATAGTACCATAAATAAGGGTTTATGATCATTTAAGCGACTAGAATGGTACCCCTTTCCCTCAATGATCAAGAGCCCAGGGGCAAATAAAGATCCCGGCGGTGACATTTGGTGCCTAGTTTTGGGTGTTTTATCCGTACGGCCCTATACCAGGATCGGAGGCACAATGTATCAGTCTTTGCTGCGGTGCGTGCCAAACATAGATACAGGAAGATACGTAGACAATGTTATACATATATATATATATATGATACGTATGGGAATATAACCGACTATAAGACTATGTGAAGAATAAGTATACATATGTATGTATGTAAATACATATACATGTATGTATGTATGCATGCATGCATGCATGTATGTATGTATGTATGTAATGTAATGTAATGTAATGTAATGTAATGTATTTATGTATGTATGTATGTATGTATGCATGTATGGATGTATGCATGTATGTATGTATGTATGTATGTAATGTATGTAATGTATGTAATGTATGTAATGTATGTAATGTATGTAATGTATGTATGTATGTATGTATGGATGGATGTATGTAATGTATGTATGTATGTATGTATGTATGTAATGTAATGTAATGTTATGTTATGTAATGTAATGTAATGTTATGTATGTATGTATATATGTATGTATATATGTATGTATATATGTATGTATATATGTATATATGTATGTATATATATGTATGTAATGTATGTAATGTATGTAATGTATGTAATCTATGTAATGTATGTAATGTATGTAATGTATGTATGTATGTAATGTAATGTAATGTAACGTAATGTAATGTAATGTATGTATGTATGTATGTAATGTAATGTATGTATGTATGTAATGTTTGTAATGTACTAATGTATGTAATGTAATGTAATGTAAAGTAAAGCATTGTATGTATGTATGTAATTAATGTATGTATGTATGTATGTATGCATGCATGCATGCATATATATATATATTTATGTGTACATATACCGGTACATACATATATATATACACACATGCACACATACATGTGCATAATTATATACATGTACATATATACATGTACATATATACATATACATATATTTTTACATATATATACATATACATGGACATATATACATATATATATATCTATGTACATATACATTTACATATACATATCATCTATTCGGTATATACATATTATCTATACGTATCATCTATACATATCATCTATACAGCGAGGTTCTTCACATAATATCAAATAGTCTCAAACATGGGCAGATGGAAATCAAGTAACAAGAAATCATGGAATACAACCAACAAACAGGAACGACGGGTAAACAAGTATCTTAGGGGAACTGAACAACTTCCGACGGCTGCGCTGGGTGAGGAGGTGGTTCTGAAAACAGATCGAATTTGTGAAATCTGTGGATCTAGAAATTAACACTGACAGAAGTTGTCCCTCTCATGCTGTGCTTAATGTCGACCTATGAACCTACTTATTCTACATCATTTCACGTTTGGACGTCAGATTGGCTGACTGATGTGGTAAACTCGACATTTGTCCTGCTCTGGTCAAATTGATGCATCAACCCATTTTTTTTTGCGTTTTTTGATCCAAGATAGACATGCACTGACCCAACCAGACATACAATCATCGGACCCTACCAGCCATACCAAATGATATCCTAATACAACAGGGGTTACAACTACGATAGCTAGGGTTGAACTGGGCTAGCTAGGGTTCACTTGGGTTTATCAACCAGATATGGCTGGCAACGCCCTTCTGAAATCACCCAGATCACTGCAGGTGATGAGAAAGTCACAAGTGGCACGCTGATGAATGTCTCCGCATTGGAAGACAAACGGCCTGTCTTTTGTGGGTTTGGGTGATTTTGTCATTCTCTAATACGGATGATTTCTACTAGGAAATGTAATGTAGAAACAGGCAAGGCATTTTTGCAAATAAAAGGAAGCGACTGGTTCTGGGAAAACCAACTGGATGGGTAGGGTATATGGATTTATACCAGCTCCGATGTTTTCTCCTTTTTGCAGGGCATCTAAGTCTATAGTTTTTTTCCATCAACCATGATTAACAACTATCACCATCTATTAACCATGATAAATGAACCTTTATTGACCATTTCTATTCCCCAGTGGCTGAAATCCCAAGTTTTGATAACCGTTTCCCTGAACTCTCCAGGAGCAAAGCCGGCTCCAGCAGCAGCTCTTGGACTTGCAGGCGACAGTCGCAGTTGCGCAACATGAAAAGGACATGAACATGGGGGAAACTTGCATCAAAATCCGTGACCTTACCAAGAAAAACCAGTACTGTAGTTTATTCATGTTTATTCAGCAAAGATTTAATGAACTTGACCAGCTCAAACTTAAGGCGTAATTTATTCAGGACGCATTTAATTTTTCTGATTTCACGAGTGAAAATTGGTGACTTCACCAGCAAAAACCGGAGAGTCAATCTGCAAGAATGAGAATACCAGCCAAACTAGTGGGCATGAGTGAATGTTTTTTTAGGCCCAGGGGACTACAGATTGCAACTTTGGTGAGTAGTTTTTTGATCATACCCATACAGCCATATGAAACTTAACGTTTCGAAAAGGACGGATTTTGGTATTTCAATATCATCCTACAACTTCATGTTTCGATGTTTCAGGATTGGACTTTTGATGAGGGTATGTGAGAAAGCTAGGGAAAGAGACGGAAAGCTTCGTATTGGCCGTTTGGCCTCATTTTTCACCTCTTGAAACGCTCCGGATTCTGGACGTTCGTCCGGATCGGAAAATCCGGATCGGCGGATCGGGATGATACGCAGCACATGTTTCCTCCAAGCACCTTTTTGGATCACAAAAACGTCTCCATCTCTGGTCACTGTGTCTCCTGTTTGCCAAGTCGATCCGTTGGGTTTCAAGCTGAATTTGTCAAGTTGGGTTCGTGGAACACGACCATCCCAGTGGGATAAACCCAAATGGCCATCAAATGATAGGGAAAAGGATGATTGCCCACGGATGTGATGAAGTATAAAACATTCGTAATCAGGAGATAATTGGGATCCCTTCCCCCCAATATTCAACACCCCTCCCCACCAACCCCCACCCCGGAGAAACCATCCATGGTTTATTTTTATTTTTTGATATTGGGGCCCATTTAGGGTGTGTTTAATATTAGGGGGATCGGAACATGTCCGAACGAAAAATCACAATGAAATCCTGCTGTTAAAATTCATGAAATTCATGAGGAAACATGATAACATGCAACGAAACGAGGACTGCATCAGGGAAAAAACAGGGAGAGCTCAATTCATGGTCAAAACGAGTGCGGATTTTCATTAGTTGGAAGTTCATCCTGAAAAAATGGGGAAGTTCCAAGTATTGATATGTTCTAAGTATTCAAAACATCAACAAATGCTGGTTATGAAAAACCATGATCTCAGTTTCAGTTTCAAAAATCGAAGCTATAATATTATTCCCCATGAATTCCCAGTAAATCAGCAGGAAATCACCATGAAATCCCGTAGAATCACCATTACATTCCATTAGCTCCCAGGAAATCACCATGAAATCCTAGAAAATTACCATAAAATCCCATTAGATCCCATTTAGATCCCATTAAATCACCATTTCTTGTGTCAATCCCCACGAACTCCCCATTTCACCAGCCATCCGCTGCGCCGCTGCGCCGCGGCGCCGAGTCTCATCAGGCGCGCGTCGCTTCTTCGGAGGCGCGGCAGAAGACCACGGAGGAGCGGACTGCAGGGGGCCCCTGGAGGAAATACGATTATCTATATAGTATAGTATTATGTGTGTAGTATAGTATAGTATAATCCAGTATATAATATCCAATATTACCTGATATAGTATTGCCTGAATATGGGGATCATATTAATCTATATTCAGGTAATACTATATCATACTATATCTATAATCTAGAATTATTCTAGCTAATCAGGAAATACAATATACTATTCAGATAATCTATAAGAATATCTATATCTATATTCAGATAATCATATCTACTATCATGATATCTATAGTACTACTATCTACTCTATTGATATAGTATCTGCATATAATATAGCGATATAGTTAGGTATTAATAGATACGAACTATCTAATTGGAAAACAAAAATGATTCTGCAGTATCTGTATAGTTATATGTATACCAATTCGTATTGATAATATATATATATATCTGTAAATATTTATATATCTAAATAGATCTATGATGATCTAATAGTATTTGTATAGTTATATACACAAATGCGTATTGATATAATATATATATATACACATCTATATCTATATCTATATAATATATCATATGTATATATGAATAGATGGGGGCACCTCCTAATGGATGGTTTAGAATGGAAAAGCCTATTAAAATGGATGATTTAGAGGTACCCTCATTTGAGGAAACCTCGATATAGTATTTGTAGAGTTTTATATACCAATTCGTATTCATATATATATAATATCTGTAGGAAGTATAGACCAATTATATATAAATAAATAAATACATAAATAGAGAAATATATATATATATATATGAATATTTTTAAAAAAATATATATCAATCTATAGATCTGAATATATCTGATATAGTTTCGTGTAGTTTCTGATATCATTTTCACGATTTCTCCATGGAAATTACTTTAATGGGACATTCACCATGAAGAAATGGTGATTTAATTGATTTTAATGGCATAGAACAGGGATATGTTTTATAATGGGCTATACGAGGATTTCTTAAGTCACGGGGGGTCCCCAAGTCAACATGCTTGTTTGAATACAAAAAGGCTCCAATTTTCAATGATTTGGGGGTACCCTTATTTTTGGAAACCCTATGTATCTAAAAAAAAACATGATTTGTAACTGTAGTTTCACATATCACGTATATATACATATATATATATGCACAAATTGTATATATACAAATTATGTATACAGTATACACATCATGTTTACATAGTTATATCTAACATGTGTATGTAATGGCATGTCATGTCATCTAATGTAAAGCTATGCTATGTTATGTTATGTTACGTTATGTTATGTCATGTTATGTTATGTATGTTTATATATTTATATAGAAATTTGATGAATTTGATCATGACCACACGTCGTGAAGTCACTGGAATGATGGGAATGGATGTTAACGGCTAGGATTCGGGGAATGATTGTGGAAAGACTCAGGTCCGCGAATCCATCGGAAAAATGGGGTGTTCCACCGTGGAAAGAAACAACAAACATAGGATTTGGATTCAGCAAAAAATAGGACATTTGGACCTTAAGAGAAATGATGAAAGTAAGTCTACGAAGACTGATGGAAACATAGGGAAGCGACAGCCATCTGGATCTTGAGCAACAAACACAGCCACTTGCTGCACTTTCTGTCAGATGTGTTGAAACATAGTTCAAGACGATGTCAGATGTTTAAACAGCCAAAAAATGGGGACCTGACGCGCCCAAAAAAGGATTTAACATGATTTAGCATTCTATATCCATGGGATTTTTTAGCCATCTACATGGGTCACCGAATCCCATGGGATCTGGACCCGAGATTCGTGCTGAGGTGAATATGTTGGATGCCATCATGAATGGCTTGATGTTGGGGGCTCCCCAGCGGCCAACGCAAAACCTGCGTGCTGGGAAGGGTTGTGTCTCCCGAAGATACCTCTAGGGCCATGAACCTGGAAGATCACCCCGTATCTTGCGGATGCTTGCGGCTTATTCACATCTTTTGAAAAAAAAACAGCATGAACTCCTGTGAACTGATTAATAGTTGATATTTCCAAAATGAACTCATAGTCAATACATGTCAATACTATTAACCACTAGTTCATACAATCAACTATTGACATATAACTTATGTAACCATCGTTAATATTAAAACATAGTTATTAACTATAATCCATCATGAAATAAACCAAAGTTAATAGTTAATATATTAAAACACACCATGGATATTTCCAATCCCATCCCCATCGCTGCCCAGGTCCAGTGAAACCTGAGAGTCTCGCCCCGATGCTTGAAGCTACCCTGGAACTAAGATAGAGATGTCCATAGTAGTACCCCCCAAAAATGGAAAGGTTCAATTAATAATATATATATATATATTGGAGTAAGCCCGGGAGTATAAACACTCCCCAGAAACAAGATGAAAATTCGTGGTTTTGGCCCTGGCCAAGCAGCCGGCCGAACCCCCGGCAAACTAGGCGGCAACATGCCGGTCAAGTTAGCAAAAATCCGAGGCAAAAAAGAGCAGCAAACCGAGTAGAAATGTTGCCTCGAAAGGCACAACCTGGCACCAACATAAATTATTTATCATTATTTGCTTCCAAGTTGGGATGCGCCTGGCATTACTTCAATAGTTCACTGCCGGACACCAGGTGCATACCGGGTTTTCATTATCGCTTTTAGCGCCTGCCAAGCTGACGGTTAAAGGTCTCCAGCGTCCAGCGCCGCGCATTGGACTGGACAAGTTGGTTGCGTGGGCCTTGATTTCACAGCAAAGCTGCTCAAGCAGCCGCCACCCTCAGGCAAGCAGTGCTGAGTTGACAATTCATCTGAAAACTGTTTTGGAAAAAGAACGCTTAAATTGTGACTAGTTGTGACAGGTCTTGCGTTGGAGACGGCGGGGGCTTGGCAGAAACTTGGGAAAAAGAATTTGTAACTTGATGCAAACCTGACGGCTTCGCGCTAACCTTGCAGAAGCCCGAGGCTGGCGGAAACCCGCCCGGAACCTACCAAAACCCGGCGAAGCCGGGCGGAACCCGGCGGAACCCGGCGGAACCTGGCGGAACCTGGCGGAAACCTGGCGGAAACCTGGAGGAAAAAAGGTAAGTTAAAGGGGGGGTGGTTGGGAGTATAACTTTTGGCATGGCTTATACTCCCAACCCCCCCCTTCAACTTACTTTTTTTCCGCCGGGTTCCGCCAGGTTTCCGCCAGGTTCCGCCAGGTTCCGCCGGGTTCCGCCGGGTTCCGCCGGGTTCCGCCGGGTTCCGCCGGGTTTCGCCGGGTTCCGCCGGGTTCCGCTGGGTTCCGCCGCTCCGCTGGGTTCTGCTATGTTCCGCTGGGTTCCAGGCTTTCGCCAGGTCAGTTCCGCCGGCTTGTGCCGGGTTCTGCCGTTTCCGCCAACAAGGTTCCTGCTACCGACTCCCCCTTCAATCCTTCAATTCATTGCTAGGATTGTACCAGGTTCTTGCCAGGCGTCTGTCAAAGTTGCAGCAATCAAAGAAGCGTTTTTTGCAAGTGCCCGGACATTGTCCAAGTCGGCTTATGGAAAAAATCACCAATAAGATGGATTTCCTGCAGATCTTGTTTGCTGTGGCCCCATGAAGAGGGGGATGCAATATTGATTTTCGATTTTCATTGTTCAGCTTTTCCACATTGAAACGTGCCAACATGTACCAAATTTCATTGACTTTTGCGTTGAACACATTTGCCATTGAAAATGACCGTAAATTTGGCTTGGCCAGAGCTAGTTCGCGCACTTTGCCGGGCCTCTTGCCGGCACATTTGCCCCTAATTTTGCTTGTCCCTCAATGGTTCGGATTGTCTGCCATACGACTTGCCGGCACAAATGCCATGGCTTTTCGTTCCCACAGAGTTAACCACAGGTTCTGCCGCTAAGTTTGCCAGCCACAAAACCAAAGAAATCGGGTTTCTTGAGTTGCGCCAGCTCTTCTGCCGGTAGTTTTACCGTCCCTTTAGCCACAGTTTTGGGTCAGTTTGGCCCAAAAAGTAATTATGAGTGTTTATACTACCTTGCTACTTTCAATATATATACATATATATATATTATAGATATAATCACTATTCTTCAAGTTCGGATTCTACGAACTTCTGCATTTTTTGATTACGAAACATGGATATGGTCAACCAATGGTTACTTGGAATCTGATATACAAATTATCTACGCCAGTTCACTGCAGGTTAGGGATGGTAAAGGTGGGACTTGTGTTGGGCTTCATGGGTCAGTCTTGTGCTTATCAACCAACGTCAAAAAAACAAACAATTTGCAACCAAACATTCTACTAATCAAGTCTGTTGGATGATGGTTTTCTAGGATGTTCCAGATTTAGCTAGCGATTACTATGTACTATGTTTTGATGTTGTTGGTTAATCGCCAATAATTAGCCAATGATAAACAGTGTACTATATGGAAGTTTCCTAAAATCGTGGTCCCCCCATCATCCATTTACAGTAAATGGGATTTTCCATTATAAATCATTCATTTTGGCCACCCCCCATTTATGGAAACCACCAGATCATTGATGTTGGTTAACTTTCAAACATGTTTCAAGGCCGCGCTCAAAAGGGTCAAAGAAAGCTTCACGAATTCGCCGGGCCGTTGTGGTGCCATGGGCCGTGGGTGCCATGCTCTGGATGAACATGGAAGGAAGACAAACTTTTAACCCACAGATGACCTGATTGGTGGTTTCCCCAATAGTTGGGATGATGATCCAATCTGACTTTCATATTTGGGAAATAGATGACTCACAAAAAGTGATTGCAATTCTCTTCAGTTTGGAAGTGCCGCCGCAGAAACCCATGCATTTCCGATTTTCTCTCCCAAAGACGTCCAGAGCTTTTGACGTCACTGGGTAAACAAAAGGTTTTTTTTTCCAGGCACCTGCGCTCAATTCCTGCCATAGAGGCCACCATCTATCGGGCGGTGCATCTTGCCAATTGGCCATTGCTTTGACCCACTGCGGAGCTCTCCGTTGGGGGCCGGCAGGAAAAAGTGTTGCAAGAAGGGCCGCTCCAGCTGTAAGTTTGTTTCTAAAACCTATCGAACCAGAGATAACTTGATATATCCGCTAGAAATCCAAAGCTAGCCTATAGTATCTATAGATATCTAGAATCTATACTATATGGTTATGTTTACCAACTTACCTATGGTTTGACGGGCTCCTTTAAAAGGATCATCTGAGTCCCCGGATCAAAATGCCATCTGTATGATTAAGCATTTCTTGATGAACTCACCGTCTTTCTTGGTTAGATCCCATTTTTTCTTGGTTAGATCCCTGGTTAGATCCCAATTTCTCTTGGTTAGATCCCAAGTCTCCGTGGTCCAAAAAACATCTTTTTGCTGTACAACTCACAACGTTCCGCTCCCGGACTCGGGGCTCCTCTCAGCCTTCAGCGGCTCCCGGCGCAGTCCTGCGATACCTTCCGCACCGCCACCCTGCCGTTGCTGGCGAAGTTCGGGTTGGAGGAACAGCTGAGTTTCAAGGCACCACGGCACCGGCATTTCCTGGGGAAAAAAATTGGGGTAGACTGGGATATAGTAATCCCCCCAAAAAAAGATGCAGAATTCAAATCCGAAACCGAAATATAGTGAGAATTTACAGTAGTTGTCGAATCTTTTTGGAGGTTGCTATACTAGTCTACTTATTGTGGATCATTGGATTGGGTCATTTTATTGCCATGATTTTTAGGGATAGGAATATATATATATATATATCCCGTTCTGATGGGACACGATTCTACTATCTAGCCAGACATGCAACGCCTCTAGGACGAAAGTTTTTTCAATGGTTTCAATGTGGTTTTGAGATGATTTTGGGGTCTTGTGTCGGGAAAATCATGCGATTATATATATATATATAGCTATATAGCCATCCTGAAACAGATAGAATAGTGTTTTCTTCACATCTCAAACATTTATTCAACTTTCCAGATTCTATGTACTTAATTGATGATTATATATATACATAGAGGAATTATATACATTCCATTGATATTCTGGCATATGCATGCTTGAAATTGTTGTGTTTTTTCTCCATCAATATGATGTTATGACTCATAGAACCACCACTCCTATATATTCATTTCAAATCAATTGTGATGGCGATATGGTGGGAACATAAACCAAAAATAATGAGGTCTTAACCACGGGACACTCACTGGGTAATTACAGACACATTATGGGATCATTATGGGAAGTCGAAGGGGATGATGAACATTTACGACTTTTTTTCATGGCATATTCTGAGGAAACCTTGACTGGATGCTTCGGGCTTGAAGTACTTCATTTGATCTACCCTCTGGTAAACAAACATAGCTATTGAAAATGGCCATTTATAGTTGATTTACCCATTAAAAATGGTTATTTTCCATAGTTATGTAAACGTTTACCAGAGGGTATCTATGGGGATAGATGAGCCTCACCAGCTCGGCCATTTGAAAAAACCCGATATCGGCCCGGATCGGCCGGCTGAAGTCTTGAAATCCCGGAGACCGCAAATCTTGGTCAAATCTACCCTCTGGTAAACTAACGTAACTATTGAAAATCACCATTTTTAATGGGAAATTCCACTATAAATCAGCTATGTTAAATTACCAGAGGGTATAGTGTTGTTCATCAAATGGCAATGGGGTCACATGTTTTCCAACCCATTGGATGAAGCACATTTCGGAAATGTCTAGCGCATTTTTTGAGGAAGTCATGCTGCATTTTCCAAAAAACATGCTGGACATTTTGCAGCATGACTTCCCCAGATCTCAATTTTTCAGAGAGATGGTAGCCCCCAGTGTCATCAAACGTGGCTGGGAAGATCCCTGTGGTCTAGCCATGGAGGTTTAGTTCGCTGGGAAAAGCACCGAAGTAAATGGGAGATTTTCCATTGCCATGTTTGATTCCCGGAGGGTACTCGGTTAATCAAACATGGCTATCTGGCCAGCTGGGGAATCCCTGAACATTTCTTTTTGGACAGACCTTGAGCAAAATGGGTCCAACATAGTTTGCCTTATCAACTCTCCTCCACTGGTTGCCAGCTGGTAGCGTCCATAAGGCTGGAACATTCCATAAAGTTCTTCCTTTCAAAATGGATCGACTATGATTGACTCATGTTGCTTGGTGATTCACATTGAATCCCATGAGTTCCCCACAATTTCCTCATGATTTCCCTGTGAAGTCCCCATTTCTCATCCTTCAAACGTTCCGTCCAGATTTTGAAGCGCGGAGCACCTCCCCTGGGTGGGGGCGAAGTCATTTTCAGCTGTCCCATCACTAAGGCGCCGATGCCAAGCTCAGTTGGGTCTGTTTTTGGGGAAAATATGGGAAACATCTGATTGACTGGATGGTGAACTTGGGGGTTTGCCATCAGTTTTTCAGAGCACAACCCATTTCAGTGATCAAAGCTCTTCAATGATTGCCGTGGCAGCGGGTTTCATTTGTTAATTTTCCCACCTGGTACTGCGCAAGTGATAGACGTTTGGTGGCTCAAGCACCAAGCACTTTTAGTTGGGAGGCTTGAGACTTCCTGGAAAAATCTCTTCAACTTTGCGTTCCCACCTTGGTTGTTTGTTAAACTTCCAAACTTGGATGGCTTGGATGATCTGCACTGCGGCACTGCCCATTTCTCCAGTGCTCACATCTTTTTCCAAGCTAAGACCAGGAGTTTTTTTTTGTTGGTATCATTCACCTACAATAGGTCATACAATAGGTCATCATCAATAAATGGAATCATATGGAATGATTGTTGGTTGGCATCTCCATTTCGAGTGGATATACCATCATTATCCCCACACAAAACGTCGTTGATATCCCGGATCCCCCCTTGCTTCGCAGGGCATTCAACCCATCGAGCTGCTCAACGAGGGCAAGGTGGGATCCTGGCCTTGGATGGGGAGGAAATACATCTTTTCACTTTAACATGGGGCTTCTCATAAATATATACATCATGAATATGGTTCTTGAAATTGGGTTTTCCATGTTTTCCCCTTGTCACCCCTGGTTTCCCTATTTAAACAACTATTTAAGTTGATGATTCAGAACCCCGTCCACCAGATCAAGACCAGGTGAAGCGTGTCCGTGGTGTCGCCTATACCACCAAAGTCAGCCCGCAGGCGCGACGCGCACGGCAGTTCCATTCGAAGATCCATGGGAAAATATTCGAAGTCAACGGATATTTTTGGAGCCATAGAGCTGATGAATATCAATCTAATATGAAGATGAATTTGGAAATACATATCAGATTTGAAGAAACAAGTATAGACACACAAACGATCTTTGGAGTGCATTTGATATGGATGCTGAAAAATGGCTTGGAGTTTCAGGCTCAAAAAGCCAGCAGGCCTCTTTTGCTCATTAAAGGCCTTCGATTCGGCGATTCGCAGGTCACATCAGCAAGTTCATATTTCATGTTCTTGGAGCTGTTCCTTTACCAAGTTGTCTACATCTCATGGCCATCATGGCAGCCCTGAACTTGGCGTTCCACAGCCCGCCACATCAGTGTGCTGCCGCAAGGACCGCGCAGGAGGCTTCGGCTTCAGGCCGTGGTTCCAAAGAGCTTTAAGCATGAAACCGTTTCAACCTCAAACTGTTTAAACACGTTTAAAGCTCAGGTCCAGAGGTTTAAACCGTTTGAACATGTTTGAACATATTCATCGGATTCTGGAGATAGCAACGCTGATATTGGAGCGGTCGGATCTTGTGACCTTGTTCTGACGTCTAAACATATTTAAACACGCGTGTTTAAACACTTTTAAACAGATTTCCACATTTGAAAGTGGGCGGCCGGGAAGACTCAAGTGTAATAATGAGTGATTTGAGTAGTACTTGTAAGAACGGGTGAGCGAGAAAGAAGCACCAGGGTGATGTCACTAGCAGCAGATTTCTCAGTGCTTGATTTTGCACGTGCGCATAATCTCATGCGGTTGGGTCCTCAATCTCTTGGAATTCGTTTAAACATGTTATATTATATAAACATATTTGTTTATATAAACATGTTTAAGCGAATTCGCTAGGTCCCCTACTACCCCCCCGGATTGGTTCAAACATTTTCGGTTTACACATCGTTTAAACCGTTCAAACCTAGGCCCAACCCTGCTTCAGGCTCTTCAGGTTCCGCAAGCGCAGCGCACGAAGTTTCGGCAACGGATCCTGTGGTGGCGAAGATGGCCGGAAAGTGGACCTTGACGGAGAAAGGCGGTCCACCCGCCTCCGTGGAAGTCTTGTGTGATGGCAAAATGACCATCGCACCGTGTCATTTGCTTCTTTTTTGGACCTGGGCCAGTGCGTTCTTGAGGGGTGATCATCAGCACTCATGTTCGCACTGGCCCAGGTCCAAAAAAGAAGCAAATGAAAACTTTGGTTGCGATTGGCAAGGCGAAGGACAAATGCGGAAAAGGCTCGCACAAACAACAATTTTATTTCAAGCTGCCAGTTGAATTGCCGGGCAACGTGAAGATGTGGATGTGTGGATGGTATGATGAAAAAACAGCCAGCTGGTCTGCCTACCATTACACCGACTTCGACAAGATCCGTTCAAAAACTGAGCATGGTCACAAGAAAGAAGACGGCTACCTGGGCGTGATTAACAGCGAACGCGTGAAGAAAGGAGACTGCCAGGTAGAGAAGTCCAATGCTATGGCAGCAACTGCAAGCCTTCTATTGTGGAATGTGATGGCTTTCCTCTGAGTTCCTCTGTGAAATTTCAGAGAAGCTGATCTTGTGGGCGAGCCGCTGGGCGAGAGAGACAAGTCCTGGAGGTGAAAAAAGAGGGTATCAATGGAGCCACAGAGGTGGTCATTTCTGGTCGTAAATTATTATATATAAATGATTCATTATTGGATTTGTGGGGGGTTCGATAGTTTTCATCTGACTTGGATGACAGGTAATTACTGAAGAGAAGAGTTGGCTTCTTCAAACATGTGAATTGGAAATGATCGGCATACTGTACAACCTACATGCATAACGTATCATAAAGTAACTGACAACTGGTGACATTCCCCAAAAAAGAGGCCTATGATATCCTATGATTGGGTTAGCCACTTACCTGGGATGCACCTCCCAGTTCCAACCTGTCGGACCTGTCGCAGTTTGCCGCTCGTATGGTGGATTCGGCACGTGCAGTGCTCAACGATTTCTTGCCCGACGTGTGGGTTTACACTGACCATTGCAAGGCGGTGTGGGACATGGATTTGCCATGGCCGGGTGAGTTTGCGATCCTTATTTTCATTGAACACCATTTCAAGGAATCCCTTGAGAGTGTAGCAATACATGGTCAGATTTTTACATAGAAGAAGGACATCCGAACAGTGTGATGAATTCAAGTTCTATCCCGATTCCTCCTGGCAGTGTTATTTTGGAAAGACACTGAGACGACTACCCTCTGGTAAGTTAACATAGCTATGGAAAATCATCATTTTTAATGGGAAAACTCACTATAAATGGCCATTTTCAATAGCTATGTTAGTTTACCAGAGGGTAACACAGACACTGCACTCATCGACGGCGAGGGTGAAGCCTGTGGGAATTCGCCGGGCTATGGTCGGGGATCCAGAGCTGGAGATGGACCATGAACCCTGCATGATGAAACATAGCTTGGAACAAAGATGAAAAAAGAAGGGTTGTTCCATTTTTTTTCATCTTTTTTGTGGACTTTTTTCATCTTTTTTGTGGATTACCAATGGCTATATAATTCTTTCCAGTCGATGTTTTAGAGGTTTCAAACTGTGACCGAGTGCCTGCTGTGGAAAATGCTGCAGAAATTGGAACCATTTGGGGGTTCCTTCAGTCATGGGGGATCCCCAAGTCACCATGCGTTTCAGTACACATCATGTGGGGATATCCATATGGACATCCCAATTTTGCGGACACATAACCCATGTTTATCCACAGTGAAGTTTCGATGGTTCATCCCTTGGGAAAGGTTTAGGATGTTTGGGTGTTTTTTTGGCCTCCAACTGGTTGACGAAATGCCGAGGCATTTCGTTGGTTGCAGAGACAATTGCTCGAAGTCTCAAGTTTGGGTCCCAGTTGACATGTGAAAAAACGCCAGGCAGCCATATCTATCCGCTTGATGTCAGCAACCGTATTTTTTTCCGTTTTAGAACAGCATCAATCCAACAAATGTAACGATGGTACCCAATGTATGTTTTTTCAGGGCTTAAACACGGCTTGCATGTTTTTGAGTTGTTCATGTATGCAGCAAACCCAATTATATAAAAAAGATCGCCAATATTCCCATATCTGCTTTGTATAAACCATCATTTATTGCATGTTTATCCAGGCTGAGGAAGCCCACTTTGTTGACAAGTCTGAACCAGTTCAACTTCATGGGCTGGTATGGGAAAACATGTGCGGTGTGTTTGAAAGTGGAATATACCCGAAAATGGAATTTCAATGGGAAACATGCTTGGACTTGGGGGTACCTTAAATTTTCAGACAAACCCATGTGGGATCATATAGGTATGTTTCAGAATCAGTAGGAGCAATTGTTGTCAGACACATCAAGCTTGAAGTCCCCAAAAGTTCCGTCCTAACTTGACCGTTTTCATCCATGCCCATTCTTCACAGGTTTTCGCATCTATAGCTTAACATCCTCAGTTTCATCCATTTTCGCTGCTTAAGCTGCAAACACATACCCATGCTTGGTGGGTGAAACGGTGAAATCCCAATTTTTCCCCATTCTTGTGGGTGAAATCGCAACGGAGCCCAGATCAGCGGATGCCTGTGCGAGTCTCCAGGATGACGAGGCAGCTGAAACGTGGCAACCTTTAACAGATATTGGGGTACTGGGTAGATATCTGTTTAACATTGTTTAACATGGTTTAACCATGTTACTATGTTCGAAAAAACGATTTAAGCATAGATATTATGGTAGATCTGCTATAACCTTTGGCCATCACTGGTCGTTGGGAAAAGTCCTTTGATCTTCCTTTAATTACTTCATTGGACATCGCTCTTCGCCCATCTCCAGCTGATGGTTGCCAGATTTGATTTCCAAAGATGCTAAACTCCCCGTAATATGGCTATGGATCAATACCTATACATACCATTTTTAGGGGGATGAACATCCATTTACCAGCTATTTTGATGTTCACCAAGGGGGATAGGGTTTTGACCCATCCCCATATGTTGAAGTCACAGTTTTTGCTGCTTAAATGCCCGTCATTCATTGATGAACTCTCAACATTTTCTGATTGTTGTTGGTCAAATCCCAATTTTCGTTCAAAATACCACAAAATGCTCGTTAAATCCCCACTTCTGCTGTAAAGTTGAGTCATTTTCTTTGCAAGTCCAAACCCAATTTGCAGTATTCAATCCGAACTTCTGTTACTAACCTGCCAAACTTTCGATCGACTGAATCCCCGTTTTTCTTAGTTTGAAGCCCCATGATTTTTGCCTAAAATCTACATTCCTGTTGCATAAAAGACATGTTTGACGGTTAACATATATATATATATACATATATAATAACAAACTTTCCTTGGTTCGATCTCTATTTTTGCCCCATTAGATTCCTAAAAAAATCAACATTTTGCTTGTTAAAAAAACATGGTTAAAATCCCATAAAATCCCTATTTTGGCTGGTTAAAACCCCTATTTTGGTTCTTCACCGGGCTTCACCTGGCTGAACTTCTCCAGGCCCTGGGAAGCCCAGAGGCTGTGGGAAGCCGCGTGGCGGAGCGTCTCTTGGCCGAGGCCGCGCCAAAGATTGGGCTCTTCCTATCTCGATTCGTAATATAATGCAGTATATATATATATATAGTCTATATATCTATATCTATAATTTTCTATATATATATATATAGATATACATATATAATTACAATTATATAGGTAATATATACATATATAATTATATATACATATATAATTATATATATAATTATATATATATGTATATATATATATATGTAAATATGTAAATATGTATGTGTCCGTATGTATAATATGTATGTGTCCGTATGTATATGTTTGCATGTATGTCCATCTCTCTCTACTAGTATGAGTATAGGTTTATTAGGCACCAAAAAAAAAATGGGATTTTCAACCGAAATGACGTGTGATTTGACCAATCACACATCGAGATTTAAGGAACAAAGATGGATATTTTAAAGAAACATGTGGGATCTAATTTACAAACAACTTATTTGCTGACAATTTTCAGAGAGCGTCTCTGTTGATACATGGAACGACACATTGGCCAGTACTCGTTGGTTGTGGTTTGGACTGGTTTGGGACCTGAGCCAGGGCTGGATTTCCGCTTGCTGGGGAACAATCCCAATGTTTTGTTGGATGGTTACGCCTTGTGTTGATTGATTTAAATCCGTATTTTTGCTGCTGAACAAAATCAATCCCCAATGTTTATGGGGTGGATTTCCCTACTAGTCACCTCGCTCAACAAACAAGTCGTGGCTACCCAATAATGGTTCTCGCATGTCCTTGCGGACGAAATTCAGTTTCTATCATTTTAAATCAGTAGATTCCAAATCTTTGAAGTAGCATATTTTCCCATTAATTATTCTCAGTTGCAAGATTACTGGTAATCTCATCAGTTGCTCGAAGCTTTCCCATGTTTTGTTGGTGCTGTTTCAGATCAACCTGGATGGAGTGGTACGCTGCTGAGAGATGGGCGTGATGGGGGGGTTCAAATGTTCAAATGCCATGCGGCAATGCCCCAGTCATGGTCCTTTTGATGTGGGGAAAATGATGATGAATTAGGATAACACCATTGGAATACCATTGATCATTGGAATGATTATTGGATAACCATTGGAATAATAACACCATTGGAATACCACCAGTAATCCAATTTTGATATTTCAATATAAACCATTGGAATACCATTGGAATTGGGGGTTCCTATGATGGGAACCCCCATGTTTCCATTGGGGTCTCCTAGTGACAAAGCCTGTGACAATACGCGCCTGTTTTTCACACAGGGGCGTTTTCGACGGTTTCCGATGATTCGGGGGAGAATTTTCGACAAGGATGATGAAAATCCTTATACTAACTATAGGAATATCCTCCCAACATCACGTAGATATTCCAACTACATACAAAACCAACAGAATGAGGATGTGACATGATATGACCTACTTGGGTGGAGGCAGTTCAAAGACGGAGGTTACAAAAACGCGTTTTTTTTGTTAAAATCCACCAAAATGGTGAATTTCAGCCCCTTCATCACTCAGAAAAAAAACCACCAAAACGGATCGGAAGATATCTCAACAGCGAACCCAGAGAGTTTAATTCGTCGGGAAACCAATGCACAATTTCCAACAACTTTCCGATTTTCGGAGCTTTGAACACCTGAACCGCTATTTAAATGTTATTGGTTACCCTGGGTTCCAGGAATGTCTTTAGAGGAAGTGTGTTCGCAACGAAGAATGCGGCACAGGGCACTGGGTCAAATTTTTGGTACCGCGATGGGGTGGATGATACATCAAAATCCGTGGTCGGCTCGGTGCATGGCTATGGACACTATGGCTGATTTATAGATGATTTACCAATTATATATATATAAACATGGTCATTTTCCATGGATATGTCAGATGACCAGACGGTATATACCAATATCCATTATATCATCATGAAACATATCATATCTCAATATCCATTTTATATCCCATTATATCCCGCTGTATCCCAATATCCATTATATCCCAACATCCACTTTATATCCCATTATATCCCATGATATAGCAGGATAGTTACCATAGATCCATAGTTTCCTATAGCATTTCCCTTATAATTATGTGTCCATGAACTGAACTCGTTCAGTTGACTCTTGTCACTGCTTGCTTGCCGCACTGTTTGCTCAAAAAGATGATGGACCACAGCGGCTGCAGCGGGGGCTCAAAAGATGCCAGTGGGGGGAGCCCAGTGCGGAAAAGCGAAGCCATGAACAAAGTACCTGTATTGATGGATTCATATTTGAGGTTGTACCAGCTGGCTTATTGGGGTTATTCACGGCCTTGTCGTTTTTGGGGTTGTTGACCACCATAAACCCTGAAGGGCTTGTAAAACTTCTACTTGGCTGACTCCTGAAAATGAGAGGGCGTGAGTAACATGAGTAACACAATGATATTAAGTATATCCCCTTTGAAACCTGACATTTTTGTCGAAAGAATAAAGAGGCAATGTCAACCCACGATTACTGTGACCTGGCAGTTCATGAACCGGCGAGAGGCAAAAATAGTGAAAATTATCAAACAAGCAACTGAGGGTTTATCAGTCCGCGTTGACATTCCCATCACCAAAGAAACCAGATCATCGAAGTGTTTTATTGGGTTTCTCCACAAGGGTACACCAAAATCCAAGCGTTTATCATTATTGTTATTATTTTCCCTATTAGTATTGCAAGTTTCGGGCATACATAATTATCCAATTTCTTGCCGAACCCATGATGATATCATATTGTTGATTGGATCGATTGTATTGCTTATCTATATCGACAACCATAGTATAATATATGTAGAATATATTTTTGACTATATGCCATATATGCCATATATATATATGCATACCCGCAGATTTTCATTGTATCATGTTCCATTCAACATCACCCCGC